GCCCAGGTGGATCTCGAACCCGCGGGCTCAGGCAATCCACTCACCTCAGCCTCCCAATGCGCGGGATTGCAGGCTGAGCCACCGAACCCGGCTCAGGTTGGGTTTTGAATGACCTGGAGGTAGGAGGTAAAAAACTAAAGAAGTAGCTTGTTGTGGCAGTCACCTTTTCCATTTCTTACTGATGGATGGAGCCACAGGCTTATCCCATGAGCCTCCTAGTGCTACAGCCATGGAGGATACTGAGAGAGGCCCTGCTGCTCAGCAAGGGTCAGGTGCAGGGGCTGGTGGGCAAGGCCATCCTGACTTTGGCTACTGGATGAGTGTCCTACAGCTAGTGAGTGCTGCTGGCTGGCTCCTTTGCCACAGGGCTGTTGGTTTCCCCTTTTTAGGTTTACATCATCCAGGTCACTGATGGCAGCCACGAGTGGACAGTCAAGCACCGCTACAGTGACTTCCATGACCTGCATGAAAAGGTAACCTTTAGATGCTAGGAGTCTATGTCTGAGAGCTTGGGGGCTTTTAGGCCAAGTTCCCATTAAGCCACACGTTAGTTTAACAGCAACTCAGAAAAAAAAAAAAAAAAAGAAAGACAGCAGCAGAGTAGATGATAGACTTCATGTCTATAGTTTACTTATTTAATAAACCAGTTTATTAATGTTACTGCATTTATTAATTACCATGTAAATGGTAGCATTCAATCCTAGCACAAGACAGTCTGCAAGTAACATGTGAATTTCAGTTTTAAGATTGCCAGTTGTAGCTTGGATATGAGCTACTGGGACAGTTTCCCGGGGAGGGGACAGGTTTGAACTTGTTCTACCTAACTATAGCTGTTTGGAGCTTCTATGTTGATATCTGGTTGGGACTCATTTCTTGCTTTGCTTTTGGAGAGTGTTATCTTTTTTGGGGTCATTTGTAGTGTGAGTGTTTTAAAGACACACCACCGCCCTCATTGGTTTTCATTCTGATTTGGAAAAGATGGCACTTTAAGGGACCAACAGGTGTTACTTTTCTGAGTGTCTCCAAAGTCTCTAGATAGAGTTCCTTATCTGGAATTGTATTGGCAATTCTAATACTAATTGGATTTAAAGAGGTCAGATTCCAGGTGCACTGGTTTGATCACTGATCCTAGTACTGCTGCCAGGAGGGGCTGTGGAAATACTGACACGTGCCTATCCTTGGGCTGCTTGCCTCTCTCATAGGCACAGAGCCTCTTGGTCTGTGGTTGATGTGCTTATGTTTTTTTACAGCTCGTTGCAGAGAGAAAGATTGATAAAAATCTGCTTCCACCCAAAAAGATAATTGGGAAAAACTCAAGAAGTTTGGTGGAGAAGAGGGAGAAGGATCTGGAGGTCTACCTCCAGACACTCCTGGCTGCCTTCCCTGGTGTGGCCCCCAGAGTGCTGGCCCACTTCTTGCATTTTCACTTCTACGTAAGTTCCTCATGGGGTTTCACCTTTGCCTGCAAACCCACAACTGCCAAAGCTAGAGGCAACAAACTAATGTAAACCTCAGCTTTGAGGAGAGGCCAGCTGAATTTTGACCCTAGGTTAGAAGATGGAGGGACATCACACTGGTTATTGATGGGCTGGGGACAGAAGCACATTCATTAACAGGTTTGCCTTAAATTAGACTGTGGCTACAGAGATATTTTCCTCCACTACAAGGGATTTTGTTTAGGAAAAATGGCCTGTGGGTGCTTAAGCTAGATTTCCATCCAGGTAGATGAGGCTGAATTAGAAACAACTGACACCTGGCATAGACTCTTGCTGAGTTTTTGGATCACAGCTTGAGACTAGTTAAGGGACCTGCTTGTGAAGGTGGAGTATTACCATCTTGGGGCATATTGTCAGGGTCTGTACTGCCAGGGGGCTGAGGCTGAGGGTAGACACCTTCCTTTGATGGGAAAGTATGTTATTGAGCAACTCTGCACTCTTTTCTGGGTAGAAGAACAACTTTCATGAGCTCCTGGTGACAGGATGAGTTGTCAAACTAGGAAAGGCAGCTTGGCCCTTTCCACTTAAGAGAATTCTTTCTGAGGAAAAGTAGGCAACTACAAAAAGGATATGTGAACCAAGGTGGTCATTCCAGGATTGTAACAAGATACTAAAGACAATCCAAAAGTCCAGCAAGAAGATGTTAGAAAAAAAATCCAAGGGTACAGCCATACGGTTGAATATCATGCTGGTAGGAAGATGATGGGGTAGCTGTGGATTCATTGACATGGGAAAATAAGTATATTATTATATGAAAAGAGCAGGTCAGAAAACATTGTGTAGACTGTGGTCCCATTTTTATAAGAAAAAAGCTCATATGGATATATTTGTCTAGGAAATTCTAGAAGGTCTAAACCAAAAGGCTGAGTAGTTGTCTCCAGGTGATAGGTTTTCCGAAAACATTTCTCCTTATGTGATGAAGATAGGAAAGAATCTACTGCCTTTTCAGGCTCATCTTTAGGAAGAAACCTGTGGGCTATGATCTTAAAGGCCCAGTCATGTTTAAAATACAACTTTCTTAAAGTCTTTTCATAGTAAGACAGCTGAACCTTTCTTGCAGCACTGGAAATTTGATAATAGTGCTCACCTTGGGCCATTAAGCTTGGAGGAGCTATGTGGCATTTACAGATGGGATCTCTGTATGTGCTTTGGATTTTATTTAGCATATACCAGCAAGTATGTGGTTAACAACATTCCCTTTTGTAAACGTATTTTTACACTTTCTTTTCTTATGTGAGAAGAAATTTGCATTCCTTATGCAAGTCTTTGAGATAAACTTCATTGGCTAGTATTTTAAGAAATACTGCACTTTAAAAAAGCTTTGGTCAGCCATTTAAGGATGAAACCTTATGAGCAGCCCTTTGAGAATGTAATTCATTGCTTGAGACTTTGAGGAAAGGCAGTCTCATTGGCTGCCTCAGGTCTGCCCAACTCTGAGCATGAAAAGGCCTGAACTGCTCTTTTGAGACTGGTTTGCCTGAGATGGGCCTGGACCTGGCTCCATCCATGGTTCTGGTGTGAGGCATGCTCTACTCCTTGGAACATTTTGGAGATATTTGAAATTATGGTTATCAGACAGGTCCCCAGGCTATATAAATCCAGGGATTTGAAAAAGTAATTGGACCCATCATTAGATTAAAGCAAGGCTTCTCAGCAGTGGCACTGTGGATGTTTTGGATGAATGATTTGTTGCTGTAGGGACTGTCTTGTGCACTGTTCAGCAGCACTCTGGCCTCTACCCATTAGATGCCAGTAGCACTTCCCTACCCGGTTGTGGCAACTAAAGATGTCTCCAGATACTGCCAAATGTCCCCCTGGAGGGAAAAATTGCCCCCTGTTGAGAACCACTGGATTAGTACTTCATTTGGGTTTAAACAAACAGGTCTAAAAGATTTGTCAGCCTTTTTTCCAGGCTGAATGCTCTCTAGGAAATGTTTTTCTTGACCTTTGTACCATTGGTGTCTTCTCTGAAATTGTCGCTAATGTGTTCCACCTCTTGTTGCTGACATTAGACAGGATGGACCCAGGGAGTTATTTGGTTGTTTTGTGGATTTTTTTAAAAATTGAGGTATAATTCACATACCATAAGATTCACTCTTATAAAGTGTACAGTTTAGTTTTTAGTATAGTTACAAAGTTTTGCAACCATTACCACTCTCTAATTCCAGAACATTTACTCACCCCAAAAAGCAATAACTTCTCATCCCTCTCTACCCCACAGTCCCCAGCAGTCACTACTAATCTTTCTGTCTGTATAGATTTGCCTATTCTGGACATTTCATATAAATGGAATCATACAATATGTGACTTTTTTGTGACTGACTTCTTTCATGTAGCATTATGATTTTCCAGGTCCATTCATATCGTAGCATGAATCTCTTAGTCCTTTTGTGACTCAGTAATACTGTTTTATTTGGGTGTACCACACTATGTTTATCCATTATCAGTTGATGAGCATTTGGGTTATTTGTACTTTTTGGCTATTGTGAAGAATGCTACTGTGAACATTTGTGTATAATTTTTTATGTGAGGCTGGGCATGGTGGCTCACACCTGTAATCCCAGCACTGTGGGAGGCAAAGGTGGGAGAATCGCTTGAGCCCAGGAATCGAACACCAGCCTAAACACCATAGTGAAACTTTGATTCTACAAAAAAAAAAAAGTTAGCCAGTCATGGTGGCACATGCCTGTAATCCCAGCTACTCAGGAGGCTAAGGTTAGAGGATCGTCTGAGCTGTGGCGGTCTAGGCTGTGGTGAGCCATGGTCTTAGAACTGCATTCCAGTCTGAGTGACAGACCCTACTCAAAAAAAAAAAGTTTTTTGTGTGAACTTATGTTTTCATTTTTGTTAGGTACATAACCAGAAATAGAAACTGGGTTATATGGTGACTGTTTTTGGAAAACTGCCAAATTGTTTTCCAAAGTTGCTGTACCATTTTACATTCCCGCTAGTGATATATAGGTTCTAATTTCCCCACATCCTTGGTAACACTTGTTCTTGTCCATTTTTTTGAATATAGATGCCTTATGGGGTATGAAGTGGTATCTCCTTGTGGTTTTGATTTGCGTTTTGCTAATGACCGATGATGTTGAACTTTTTCTTTTTTTTTTTTTTTTGAGTTGGAGTATCACTCTTGTTGCCCAGGCTGGAGTACAGTAGCATGCTCACAGCCACTATAACTTTGATCTGCTGGCTTAGGCAATCCTTTTGCCTCAACCTTCCAAGTAGCTGGAACTACAGACACATGCCACCATGTCTGGCTTTTTGTGTGTGTGATTTATTGTAGAGACGAAGTGTCACCAAGTTGGTCTCGAACCCCTGGGCTCAGGCAGTCCTCTCACCTCGGCCTCCCAAAGTGCCGGGATTACAGGCTGAGCCACCACGCCTGGCTGAACCTCTTTTCATATGCTTATTTTTTATTTTTATTTATTTTTTTTGAGTCAGAATCTCACTCTGTTGCACAGGCTGGAGTGCAGTAGCACTATCATGGCTACTGCAGCCTCGATCTGCTGGTCTCAGATGATCCTTCACCTCAGCCTTCCAAGTAGCTAGGACTATAGGCATGTACTCCCAGCTAATTTTTTGATTTATTGTAGAGATGAGGTCTTACCATGTTGTCCAGTCTGGTCTCGAACCCCTGGGCGCAGGCAGTCCTCTCACCTCAGCCTCTCAAAGTTCTGGGATAAAAGGCCACTATACCTGGCCTCATATGCTTACTGACCATTTATATATCTTCTTTGGAGAAATGTATTCTATCTTTTGTTCTTTCAAAAATAGGGTTAGCTTTTTTAATTGTTGAATTGCAAGAGTTCTTTATGTATTTTGGATAGTAGACTCTTACCAGAAATAGGATAGGCAAATAATTCCTCCCATTCTGTAAGTTGTCTTTTCTTTTTTTTTTTTCCTTTTTTATTTTAAAGACAACTTGGGATGTCTTTTCATTTTCTTGATAGTATCCTTTGAAGCACAAAACTTTTAGATTTTGATTAAGTTCAATTCATCAGTTTTTTCCTTTGGTCATCTGTGTTTTTGGTGTCTTATCTGAGAAACCATTGCCTAATAAAGATTTGTAACTATATTTTCCTTTAAGAGTTTTGTAGTTTTAGCTCTTACATTTAGGTCTTGGATCCATTTTCAGTTAATTTTTGTATATGATGTGAGGTAGGGGACCAACTGCATTCTTTTTTGGTGTGGGTCCTTTTTTTTTTTTTTTAAGCCAGAGTCCCCTCTATCACTCTGGCTAGAATAACTGGAACTATAGGCTTGCACCATCACATCTGTGCAGATCTTTATGACAAGGAAAAAAGGCACTACTTCTCTCCCAGCTCTGGGATGGAGAGTCCAGGGATGGTGCAGCCTGTGTTGCAGGGAGAGGGCAGACTGCACAATAGGCCTATTGCTCTACTGTCTCTCCAGATAGCTGTGCCCTGATCCTCCTTGACCCATGGTGACAGACCTCATCACAGAACCCCGAGAACAGAGGTTTTCAAACTCAGTGAAATGGAATCCTACGGAGAATTCCAGCATACCATGCTGGGGAGGACACTTGGTCATTTAACCTCTCTGTCCCGGTTCCTCTACTGTGAACTGCAGATTGATGACCCAGCACCCTTGTGAATCCTACAAGAGTCTAGGCAGTGAAGGTCAAAGGTTTAGAAGAGTGGTAGACCCAGGGTCAGGGCTGGCCATGTGTTAGCCATTACTGGACTGTTCTGGTAAGGAAAGACACTCAGTTCTCTTGAAAGGTATTTATATTCTTTTCCCTTTTCTTGGAGTTGGAGTCTCATTCTTGTCGCCCAGGCTGGAGTGCAGTGGCATGCTCATGACCACCGCAGCCTCCACCTGCTGGGCTTAGGCAATCCTTCCACCTCAGCCTTCCAAGTAGCTGAAACTACAGACGCACGCCACCATATCTGGCTAGTTTTTTGTGACTTATTGTAGACACGAGGTCTCACCAAGTTGCCCAGGCTGGTCTTGGATCCCTGGGCTCAGGCAATTCTCTTGCCTCAGCCTCCCAAAATGCTGGGATTACAGGCTGAGCCGCCACACCCGGCCATATCCTTTTCTTATTTTAAAGCCAGTTAGCTAGAACAAAGATGCTTTTCAAAAATTGGAATCAGGGAACTGTGTTGAATTATTATCATCTTTTTTTAATTTTATTTTTTGAGTTGGGAGTCTCACTCTGTCACCCAGACTGGAGTGGAGTGGCACGCTCCCGGCCACCGCAGCCTCAACCTACTGGGCTCAGGCAATCCTTCTGCCTCAGCCTTCCAAGTAGCTGGAACTACAGGCGTGCGCTACCATGCCCGGCTAATTTTTTGATTTATTGTAGAGATGGGGTCTCGCCAAGTTGCCCAGGCGGGTCTCGAACCTGCGGACTCAGGCAGTCCACTCACCTCAGCCTCCCAAGGCGCAGGATTACAGGCTGAGCCACTGAGCCCAGCTGAATTGTTATCATCTTAACATTGGCTTTAGCATCTAGTTTATTTCCATCATTTGTTTTAGTTGCAAAGTACTGAAGCTGTGAACGATAACAGACTTCTTTTCAAATCACAGTTTTATAACTCTTTTCAGTTAAAATTTAGATTGACCTCCTCACTGGGGAATTTTTGCCTAAGATTGAATCATGTATAATTTGCCTGACTCCTGCTAGAATCCCTCATTGCCAGCATAAACAAAAGTTAGACGAGGACCCCCAACTCTTTTCATGTGTATCTAAGCTATACTTGGGTGATGGCCTCAGTGACATGTAATTAATTCCCAGGCTAACACCCCACTGACAAGTGTGCTACTCAAACGTGTGCCAAGCAAAAGTGCCAGAACCTGGCTAGGGCTTTTCATTTAGTGCCTTGGGGTATGCTGCATGCTCAGTCAGAATGTAAGCTGCAGAGCCACCGCCCAGAGAGTCCATGGCATGTTTATGTGAAGTTCAAACCTCTGCACAAGGCTGCACACTGACACAGGCTCCTGGCAGGGGGTAGTGAGGAAGGTTTGTATTATAGTTTGTAAACATAGCAATAACGATGTCTTCATTTAATTGAAATTTTTATGAGGTATAAATAATGTCCTTTTTAAAAGTACATTTCAGTTCAGACATTCATGGAACCCCAAAGCACTTCAAGCCCCTTCACCACAGATGGGGTAGAGCACGTGGGGCATGTCCCCACAGGTGACCCTTGGGGAGTGTCTGCAGCAGCTTGGGCCCAGGGGCCACTGAAACTCCCTGATTTCTGCCATGGGATGGCTTGACATTGCACACCTTTGTCACAAGCCCACAGTTTGGCCAGAGAAGTTTCTGATGAGGCCAGTGTTCTAGCTTTGGGGGCTGAGTCATTTCTGTGCTCCTCTATGATTCGGTCTCCCTGCCAAGATGAAGGTTGACCTGGGAAACCAAGTTGAAAGTATTGCAGCAGTATGCACTTCCTGTGCCTCAAAGAGTTGGGAGAGAAATTATTAGGGTTTGCTTTTGAGATTCCTCAGAAGCAAAAGCTTCTCTTTGCTTAGTAGGAACCCTTGGCCCTTACTTTTACTCTCTCTCAGCATTCTGCATTTTCCGGAAATTCCAGCTCTGTCCTCTTAGAGGGGCTGGTGTCCAGGGTGATTTTTCTTTTCTTTTTTCTTTTTGGAAGAGAAATGCCCAGCTGGACTTGAACTCCAGAACTCAAACAGTCCTTTTACCTCATCCTTGAGAGTAGATTGAACTACAGACACATGCCACCACACCTGGCCCAGGGTGATTTTTTCACTGTTCTTTTGGTGCTGACAGCTGTCCAAGGAAATGTGCCATTGAAAGTGAGGGCTGCTCAGTGTTGATCATGGGGAACTCTTCCCATGGGACAACTGTAGGAGCCTTGTGTCCATGACATGGTAACTGAGAGGCCCTGGAGCTGCTCTTGGGAATTGAGGTGGACATAGATTGATAGCTCCTGGGACCTGCTCTGATCCAGGCGATCTGATGAAGAGGGTGGGAGAGTGCTGATCTGTAGACAGGGCTTGGTTTTCAAAACCTTCCATGGAGAAACAGCCCTTGGGTCATGCCAAGCTCTTTCTGGTCTTCAGTTCTTCACATCTGCCAAAGGGAAGGTAATTGAGTTTAAGTGACTGAAGTTGAACTTCAGAGTGAACCTTTAGCCTCTCCTCTCACTTCTTGCTGGAACTCTCTCCTGCTCAGAGCCTGCTGTGTCCCTCTGTTGACCCTTTCACATTTAGACCTGCACCCTGCCAGACTCTGAATCCCTTGAAGCTAGGGTTCTCTTTGCCTATTTTGCTCCCTTTGGCTTTTTGTCTGTGGGGAGGAGGGAGGGGATTATTCTCACACTGTATATAAACTGAATTTCAAGCAGATTAAAGACACTCATTTTTTAAAGATACTGTAAGAGACCAAAAGAAAATTAGGAGAATATTTTTATAATCTTGGGGTAGGAGGAAAAGGCTCCAGAAAATCACAAAGGAAAGTAATTACAGGTTAAACAACATAAAAATGAACAACTTCTTTGTCAGGAAAGCCACCATGAACAAAGGTAGGACATACACAGACTGGGAGGAAATATTTGCAACATATGAACAACCATTAAGATAGCTGTGATATATAAAAGACAATAAGAAAAAGACAAACAACCAAAGAGAAAAACAGGAAAAGGACACCCTGTCCCCTGTGGCCTGGTGCCTTTTGAGTCCCATAAACACGTGAATTGCATGTTCTGGTGGCAGTGATGTTCCTGTGCGTTATGAGAGTGATTATGTAGCCTCCATCTGGACCTGTTTACGAAAAGACTTGTTGGCTGCCATCTGTCCATTTGTTATAGTTCTTACCTGAGGGATGCGGGGGTGTGGGTCTGAGACTGGGGGACCATACCAGCCCCATGATTATACCACTGAAGTGCTGAGGCAACTGGTTGTGTACAGAGAGGCCAAGTGCTTGAGTGTGACTTTGCCAGTTTCTGGCTGTGCAGAATCAGAGGGTCACAGCACCTTTTCACCTCAGTTTGCTCATCTGTGAGCCAGGGTTCAGGAGAGCAGCCTCTTCCTGTGGGTGTGAGAGGGTTCAGGGAGCCAGGACCTACCAAGTGCTCAGGCTGCTGCCCAGCATGAATTAAGATCCCAGCAAGTTAGCAGCTCATGACTAGAGGCTTGTCCTTGCCATGCCTCCATCCTCATATCATTTAAGAAACAAGTTCCTTCCTGCCACTTTCTTGTGCCTCTGGACTGAGTGTTACTGTTGTGCTCTGGAAGGGGTGAGCACAAGAAGAACAGATGCTCACTCTTTCCTGACACACTTCTGAAACATTGGAGAAAGTGGAAATGGTCATTCCCTGGGAGAGTGGGCTCTGGGAGTCCCTCACCCACTAGGGTAACTGGAGCTTCTTTTCCAAAAGAAATAGGACTTCCTCTCTGTCACACCCTCTTCTAGGAACTCCCAGGGCCAGTTTTGGAAACTTCTGGTTTCCCAGAAGCCTTTGGCATAGCCCTGCCCTGCTGGCTTCCTGGGCCATAGTGCACTCAGCCAGTACCTGGGTGGACTGGGAGTTGCAGCATTTGTCTGGTTTCCTTCTGCTTTTGAGGAGACATTTCAGGCATTCACATCACAAGAGTATTTAGCTTTCCTTTCTGACCCCCTTGCTTTGTTACAGGTTTATCCTCTCCTTTATTTTGTTTAACCTTCTAGAGAGTTGGCACTGCCAGAGCAGAGCAGGTAGATGCAGGGATTCCAGTGACTGGGGCAGGTGGACGATCTAACCCCAGGTTTTGTGTTCTCTGCAGGAAATAAATGGCATCACTGCGGCACTGGCCGAAGAGCTCTTTGAAAAAGGTATGTGGCCATAGGTCCTTAAAATACTGGGCACAACTTGCTTAGCTCTACTAGGCAGCCAGAGGTCCAGAGTGACACAGAACTCAATCTGTTGTGCTTCGCTGAGTGAGTCCTAGCTGGGATCCACTGGCTTGGGGTTGTTTGCTCAATTTCCTAGACCTGGTCTGCATCTAAGCCTGCCCGCCTACTTGTGCTGTAGGTAGCCAGGTCTGAGGAGCTATGGTCCTTCACCTTGGGACTTTGGAGTGCCTGTGTTGGGGACTCACCCTCAGGCTCAGGAGCTACTCCAAAGCCCTGTGGTAGGGTGCTGGGTGGTTGGTGGCATGTTGCCTTGCACCTCGTTTGTGCTTATCTGAAAGGGTAAGTTAGATACTGACCTTGGGTCCTGTCCCTGCCAGAGAGCACAGTAATCGTAGCTAGTGTGTAGTAAGTGCTACCTTCTACCTGGCCTGTGTTTAGCATTTCCTTGCCTTCCCCCAGGAGCCACAGGTATAGACGGGGACCCTGAGGGTCAGAGGCCCAGTAGCCTGCCTGAGGATACGTGACTGGAAGGAGTAGAGCAAGGACCAAGGCAGTCATTCTGGCTCAGAACCCTTCCTACTCACAGGCTCTGCACTGTGCTGACCTCTTAGACCTGTACACCTGAATGTCTGCATCTTGGAGGTTGCAGCATGGGTCTGTTGCCCAGAATGCTGCCTCTCATCGGCTTTACCCTGGCTTAGTGCCTTCAGTCTTGGCCTCAGTCCTCAGGGTGGCTCTTCAGCCCCATGGCCCTGCCCTCCTCAGTCATCCCCTGCCTAGGGTTGCCCTGTGCCCAGGGTGTACTCGGGACAGCCACTCCTGCATATTCAGGGCCATGACTTTGCCCTGATACAGTAGGTGTACATAATAGGTATTTGCCAAGTGTTTGTTGACTGTTGGCCTGGTGGATAGAGGCCCTGGCCGCATGAGGGCTGGGGATGGACACTCATCCCTCAAGATGTGGCTGTTGCAGGTGAACAGCTCCTGGGGGCCGGTGAGGTCTTTGCCATCGGGCCCCTGCAGCTCTATGCAGTCACCGAGCAGCTGCAGCAAGGAAAGCCCACATGTGCCAGCGGAGACGCCAAGACTGACCTTGGGCACATCCTGGACTTCACCTGTCGCCTTAAGTACCTCAAGGTAAAGCTGCAGCGGTTCAGTTGTGGAGAACCATCAGCCAGTGGGAGTGAAACCTGCCTGAGGGCCTAACAGCTCACTCTGGCTGGCCCTATATTAAGGAGACTATGGGGAGTTATCAGCAGAAGGCAGGCCAGCTGGTATCCTTGGCACTGTGGTTCTGGCTGTGGGCACCAGGGGGCAGCCGTGACTTTAAACCTAGGCCTTAGCCTGCTTTGTTGAAGGCAAAAGTGAAAACTTCAGCCTTGTCTGCTGCTGCCACTCAGCCCTGTGGACGTGATGGGGAGTGGTGGCAGCATCATCCCTGATTCAAGGTACATTTTTGGCCTCAGGTTTCTGGCACAGAAGGACCTTTTGGGACCAGCAACATTCAGGAGCAGCTCCTGCCATTTGATTTGTCAATATTCAAGTCCCTTCATCAGGTGGAGGTAAGTCCTGGGGCTGCTGGGATGCAGATAGAGCCAAGCCCTGTGCAGGCATCTTCTCGCTCCTGACTCTGAAGAGGGAGTGATTGTGATTTCGGGTATCTTGATTTCATCATAAGGCACTGTTGCTTTCGTGTTTGGCAGTGTGTGACAGATTGCATGTTGGTAAGCCAGGCCTTCTGAAGGCAGAGAAGAGGGGCCCTCCTGTCTTTGGCTGGTCTGTGTGTCTCTGCCACTGGCATTTAGACAGGGCAGAGCACCTGCACCTGGCTCCTACTGGGCCTCCTCACAGGGTCAGGGTGAGTGTGCTGTTCAAGTTGAAGTCTTGGGAAGTCATCCTAAGGGTCAGCCAGTTCCAAGTCTGTTTCCCGAGGTAGATCAGCAAAGGGCTTTGAGAGTGCCCTGCTTTCTGGGTGCCCACACATAACAAGAAATGCTTTGCATTACTGACTACTGAATTCTCTGGTTCACAGTGCCAGTTTTGTTGTCATTTTGAAAAGAGGGGGAGACAGTAATGAATACTAAAAAAAGGTTTTAAAGCATATTTTCTTCAGTATGGCTTTATGTTCTGCCCTGTGCCCCATGTCTACTTGACTGAATCTTCCCAACAGCCCTGGGAAGAGGGCATTTTTAGTCCCATTTTATAGTTGAGGAAATAGAGGCTTGAGGAGATAAGGAAGTTTGGCCAGGACCCCACTATTAATGAGGGGAAAGCCGGGATTTGAATTTACCTGAGTCTGATTTCAGAGCCTCTGCTACCCATTGGGCTACTCTGCCTGCAACAATTTAGGCTTTGTCTCAGAGACCTTGAGGACCATGCCACCTGATGGAAACATGTGGCGTGCTTCAACCACTGCAGACCCAGTGAGGGCTGGGAAGTGAGAAGAAGACTGACCCAGCCCTGCTCAGCAGGCAGGTAGCTCAGGGAGTGTGCCTTGGCCTGTACTTTTCTCCTTGCCGCAGCACACTGAGGCCAGTGGAGCAGGGGCTAGGCCAGCAAGAAGTCCCATCACATTCACCATGTTGTAGAGGCCCCTTGATCTTCAGCTCAGCTTTCACAACCCACACTTTGTGTCCACCTGCCCAGCCCCAAGCAGCCCTTTCAGAAGAACTAGAATTTGCAGTTCATTGTGAGTCTGATAGATGCCTTTCCTCCCAGATACTTCAGAGGATGTTTGGTCAGCACTAAACTCTGAGAAATAGACTTAAATTTTGAGTCGTCTCCTGTCTCTGAGGATTTGAGGCTTGCCTATTGTTATGCTTTTGTGTGGGGGTGATGAACACCCACTTCCTAGGGCTTCTGTTGGAGCAAGGATGCCATTTCTGAGACACAGCTGTTCCTTGTTCCAGATAAGTCACTGTGATGCTAAGCACATCCGCGGGCTGGTCGCATCAAAGCCTACCTTAGCCACGATGAGTGTCCGCTTCTCAGCAACCTCAATGAAAGTAAGCTTCACCTGTTTCCTGCCTAGGGCACTGTCTATGAGACCAGGTGCCTGGACTATCCACACCCACTGAGGATGGGTGTGGATGCTGCTATGTGTGTCAGTACCCAGAGCTTGACCTTCCCCTGGGCAACCACTCACACAGGACCTCCTGAGACACTTTAGTTCACATCATCACCCAAAATCAATGTTGTCAACAAGACATTTTAAGAAACTGGGTTCTTACCCCCCCAAAAAAAAGTCCTTGTTTTCAGTGAACAGATTGTTAAGCTGTGGCAAATGACAGGGTCTTAGAGTGATATAATAGCCCTTTTCTCTTAGCTTAACAAGCCTGGGCTCCAGGGACTTGACGTAGAAGGTGAAATTGTGGAAGTGCTAGGTCCTGTTGTATGTACGTGAACAACAGAAACATTTGAATTGGGATTATAGGAACTTTACTTTTCTATTTGCCTTTGTATGGGTTGCATGTTGCTAATGGTAAAATCCTTTCCAGAGTGTAGAAAAAGCATAAAGTGGCTAATTTTATGACTTAAGGTGTCCAATCAAGATTTGGGCTTGGTGAAAAGTTTTTCTGTTGGGGCTTGCGGAGAGAGTGAGGGCGTTGGGTCACCCAGTCCCTCTCTGAGCATTCCTTGCTGCCTGGCAGCAGGAGCTTGAAGTGACCCATTTCGAGAATAGAGGTCTTTGGGTGTCACAAATCAAAACAAGGAGGCCTCCCTCCCTCCCTTGCAATGGTCTTTGGGCTCCCTGCTGCCACCATTGTCTTAGTATCACTGGACTTTGTCCCTGTGAAGTAACAGTCAAAAGTCCTGCTGTCCACAATGAGGACCACATCGTCAGCTTAGAGAACTCAGTTACCTGGAAACACCCTGAATTCTGATCTGTAACCTCTGAGATTTAAGCCAGAAAAGTTATCACCATGTAGCTGAAGGCCCTGTGGGCTTGAAAAGCATTGCTCTAGAAGCAGGACCAAGCACATTCTAAGTGACTGTTAAATGGCGGAGCTTTTCCTTATTTCACAATTGTTGAAAGCATATGAACCAAAGCCCTGTTTAAATGCAAGTTCACTTCCACATGCTAAATATGCTCCAGCCCTTCCTCAAATTTTGCAATGATTGTGTTCCCAGTGAGTGTTGCGTGAGGGCCCGAGTGTGGTGCTCAACAGATGTTCTTATGCAGGAAGTCCTTGTTCCTGAAGCGTCAGAATTTGATGAGTGGGAGCCAGAAGGCACAGCCCTGGAAGGCCCTGTGACTGCCATTATTCCTACTTGGCAAGCACTGACCACTCTTGACCTGAGCCACAACAGCATCTCCAAGATTGACGAGTCTGTGGTATGCTCTCAGCATCGGGTACTGGGGGCTTCTCTGACCTGACCAAACCCTGAAGTTGGATATTTAACTTTGCTTTTTCTGGAGGACCTCGGAAAACCTGTATCCAGTGCTCTGTGCATTGTCTACGATTTTAAGTTAATTTCAAAATGGGATTATTTAAAATTGGTGTGGTATACCTAAAACCAAATAAAGTCTATTATTGCATGTACATTTGTTATAATAGAACCACAGTAAGTGATATTTACTCCAAGGAGCGGAGCAGGAAAATCACTCCGTAGATTATAGATGTGCCCGTGTAAGACTGACATCCAGAGGGCATTTGCACAGTAAGAGTGTGGTTCCTGTATTTGTGCTGCTTGGTGGGTGTAGGCAGAGTTGAAGGACAGACTCTCTTCTCTGGCTGGAACCTTAACGTGTGTCATTTTTACAAGCCAAGTGTTCTGTAAAACTGGTAGATAGCACCTTTGGGTGTATTGCTGGCTGGGCAGCAGGAGGTGTCATGTGAGTGGCCCTGCAGGGACATCCAACCAGGAGTCGGTGGTCAGGAGGAAGGGTACTGGGATGCCTGTCCACTGTGTGCTGGCACTGTGTAGGATCCAGTGGTCCAGCCTCCTAGAGTAATATCATGTGTTCTTTTCTTTCACAAGAAATTGATCCCAAAGATTGAGTTCCTTGACCTGAGCCACAATGGATTGCTGCTTGTGGACAATCTGCAGGTAATATCTTTGGAGACCAGTGCTGCCTGCAGGTGCTCCCAAGGTCCCATTCTGTGAGTTAAGGAGATGCAGCCTTGGGAATTTGACCATAGCTAGGGGTTTGTAAGGGCAGGGGCTGCCACCTTCCCTTTAGGTCCCAGCAGTGCACACTGAGTGATTATTGCTCTAGTTTCAAAGAATTAGAAAAGATAAATAGATATAAACCCAGTATGATGATATACCTCTGTCCTGAAGGTGGACAGCTTTGTTTTTAATGCCTACCCCACCCTGCAGGCGTGCCACGATGCTGTGGACTGTGCAGGGGAGAGAAGGGATTTCCCTGCCACATAACTGTCAGAGTGACTTGCAGAACTGGGTGGTTTGGATTGGAACGCCTGTCATGCCGTTAACCCTTTTCTTTGGAGACTTGGCCTAAGTTGCTTTGTGCCATTCTCAATGCTGCAGCACCTGTACAACCTCGTGCATCTGGACCTGTCCTACAACAAGCTCTGCTCCTTGGAAGGGCTTCACACCAAACTGGGGAACATCAAGACCCTGAACCTAGCGGGCAACCTCCTGGAGAGTCTGAGTGGCCTGCACAAGCTCTACTCACTGGTCAACCTGGATCTCAGCGACAACAGAATTGAACAGGTGAGCCGCATCACAGAAGGCTCTCAGAGCTCCAGGACTTCTGTGCCTTGGCGTTTGTCACTTTAAAGAAGATGTTAAGATTCCTTTCATTTAGAAGAGGCCGTGAAACATGTTGGCGTGTTGCTGAAGTGTTAAGAGAAGGGACCAAAGGGAATGGAACTCATGCCTTGCAGATGGAGGAGGTGCGGAGCATAGGCAGCCTTCCATGTCTGGAGCATGTGGCTCTGCTGAACAACCCTCTGAGCATTATCCCTGATTACCGGACCAAGGTGCTTGCTCAGTTCGGAGAGAGGGCCTCTGAGGTAAGCCCCAGCATGGTCACAAGAGCCCAGGGAGGCAGCGGGATGGAGTCCATGTCTGTGGGGCAGAGCATGGGGGACGTCTGTTCTACTCTCACCTGCTTCAGAACATCCTGGCCCTTGAGAACCTCTTGGTTCTGGGAAGTCCACTATCTCCCCAGGAAAAGGCTCCCTCGCATCTTCCGCCCTTTCTGTCAGGATAATATTGTTTATTCTAAGCAGGGGTCAGAAATATGATCCTTGAAATAATCATGTTTCCTGGACAACTTGTAACCATAGTTTCTGACTACAAACCTGAAGAGTTTGCTTTTGTCTATCTAGCCCTGCCTATCTGCTGGCACTGGCTGTGTCTGCCCACCTGCCAGCATGCTGACCAAATAGTCCTAGCCAGGTTCACCCCCTCTTTGGCCTCAAGCAGACAGGTCCCCCCACCGACAGGTCCTCAGATCTTGTGGTCTCCCCAGATCCCAGGCCTGGGAGTGTTTGCATCCCACCTCCCTTTTTTGGCTCCAGGTGACCCTTATCACTGTCCCCAAGTCAGTCTTTACAAGATACCATCTCTTTCTCTGCTGGGCTCCAGACCTTGGGAGTCTCCCAGGTCACAGGTGTCAGCTCCTGTCCAGTCCCGTGGGACTTTCCCTCATTTGGCCCTACTGCCTCCCCGATTGCCTGCCAACCACAGCTCTCTCCTGCACTTGCAGGAGGCAGACCCTTCTCTCTTCTGCCACTTTCCATGCCTTTGTCCTTCTGTTCTCCTGTCTGGAAGGCTCTCCCCTTGCTCTTTGATGATCTGTGCTCTGCTTATAACTGGGGGCTTAATTCAAGGCACCCCTTCCCCTAGGCCCCTGCTAGGCCCCTCCAAGGTGTTCCAGGTCACTTCCTTGGGTGGTGAGGAGCCGCCTCTCAGTGGGCTGAGCCTCCCTCGGCCTCTGGTGTCTTCACGGGGCCTGGCCTATAGCAGCTCAGGCCCACTTCTCAGCAGGGCCCTGCCACTGTCCTCCCGCCATGCTCGCCAGTCCCCATGTTGATGGCCGTTTTCTGGACTCTCTCTAGGTCTGTCTGGATGACACAGTGACTACAGAGAAGGAGCTGGACACTGTGGAAGTGCTGAAAGCAATTCAGAAAGCCAAGGAGGTCAAGTCCAAACTGAGCAACCCAGAGAGAAAGGTGGGTTTTTGTGTGGGAGGTGGGGAGAGACAGTGGAGCCGAGCCAGCCAAGGGAAGAGCTGGTTCATGGGGAACCTGGGTTGTGGGATTGCTTGGGGCCGCCAAGTTCAAGTCCTGGATATACCACTCCCTGGCTGCATGACCGTGGTCAGGTCACAACCTCTGTGTTCTCATCTGTGGGGTGGGGCCAGTGACAGTACCTGCTGTGAGGATTAGGCAGCACCATCCCTACTAGCACCAGTAGTGAGAACTGTTGAGCTCCTCCTCTTCACATCCCTGGCCTTGTTGAGTTCTGCTCTTCCTGAGCTTCTCTTCTCTCCCGGCTGACCTGAGCACTCCTCCTCAGGCTGGTGAGGATTCCCGGCTCTCAGCTGCCCCCTGTGCCAGACCCAGCGGCTCTCCTCCCACCGTGGTTTCCACCTCTGCCTCTCTGCCCCAGCCCATTCTCGCCAACCAAGGTAATCGTGTGTGTATCTTGCTCCTAGTGGAGCCACACAGCCCTGCCTGGGCCCCTGGCTGGGCTGAGTTGGGGTTGAGGGAGAGGTGCCGGCATCTATTTCCTACAGGCTCAGACACAGAGGGCAGTACCATCTGCAGGCTGGCTTCTCTTGGGGGGCATATGATGGGGGGTGCCCTGCCTGATTTTAGCTGCTGCTTGCTTAGTAAGAACTCCCAGTTGCTCTGACGCCCACATCAGTTTCCTCTAGGCTATCACAGGGTATCTCATGGGCCCTGAGGCTGCCCTTTGAATAGACTCGGGGCTTTTGGCTCAGGGGACCAGTTCTGCTGGCAGCACAGGCAGCTTGGCTCTTGGTAAACGGGAAGCCAGGCTGTGTTACTTTACTGAGTCTGGAGCCCTAATCCCTGCGTGGGTGCTTGATTTTCTCATTGCCTCGTCTATGTGGCTCTCGTGGTGTGACTCAGCCCCAGAACACTGTGGACCCAAGATGAGCTATGTCCCTGTGGACCCATGGAAAACCTGTCCTGTTCATCTGCCCACTGTCTTAGCATTTTCAAAGGGCTTTCACCTCTGAACCCAGGCATCCTCGGAGATGAGTGAGTGAAGCAGGTCCTATGAGCGTGTCTGCTGGCCCGGCCCCCATGGAAGAGGGGAGGGTGTGCCGTCCTGAGTGGAGCCGAGGCTCTGGACACGCAGGAAAGGACGCCGCCTGCCCGGGCTCCTGGAGACGCAGAACTTGGTGTGAGGTCCTGGGAAAACAGTTCGACCCTATGTTTAAGAGCCAGAAAAACATTCCCACCCCTTGACCTGGTAACCCCACTGGTGGGGATTTTCTCTTAGAGGGATAATAAAATACTGGGAAGGGGGAGGTGAAGTGCTCACTACTGCCAAAAAAAACTCGGGCTGTAACTCAGACGTTGGAGGCTGAGAGAGAGAGTCAGCTGTGGTACAGAAGGCTCTGCAGCCCTCCAGCAGGGAGGGGAAGACTGGCAGGAAGGAGGGGAGCAGTGCTCACACTAAGGCAGAAGGCCCAACGCAGAGCAGCACCCACCAAGGTTCAGCCATGAGATGCGGAAGAGAATTCATGGGAATGGAACAGTGGGGTTAGGTGCCACAGTGGTTGCCTGTATTGCTTCCGTCAAACTCCTGACTCTGAGGATTTCTGATTGTATTTTTTTACTAAAAGAGGAGAGGGTTATACTACAGTGAGGAAGCCTCCATGACCCTACCTTTTTCTGCAGGACCAAGTGAACCTGTGGAGGAACCATGTGACAGTGGGCTTCTGGGGGACAGGGAGATGTGTCTGGTCCTTGAGGCCAGGGACACAGTTGGTTCTGTCAGTATTTGTTGACCAGTGAGTGCATGAGCGAGCAAGTGGAGGAGAAGCCATTAGGGAGCAAACCACGGGGCAGGGGATGGGGTGTCCTCCAAGGCTGCAGCTGCAGGTAGCCCCCCACTGGCGGTGAAGCCTCTGCACCAGCTCAACCCCCTCCTCACTACCCTCACGCCCTGGGGACACTCTGCAGAGTGGCACTCTGCTGTCTGTCCCCCTTACTCCCCAACCCGTCACTGGACTTTTAGACGTTGTCTCCAGATCTGCACCTCTTATAAATAAAACTGCAGTGGATGTCTTTGTGTGCACATCTCTTTCCTTTTGGTGAAAACAACAAAGGTTGGACCCCCTCTAAGGACTCTGCTGATGTCCCCCATTCCATCTGCTGAGTAGCCCTTTCTGATCACTTGTTTGTACAGGCCACAGTTCAGGAAGGGAGCAGACAGACTGTCCCTGTCCACATTTCCTCATGGCCAAAAAGGGCTTGGGGGGGTAGTGACAAAATGTTAGTTGTTTTCTCACTGATGAGGAGGCATCCACATGTGTTTATGGTCAGCCATGCGTTACAGGGTCTTACCTGGATGGACAGGGCTTCCTCCCGTGTGGAAGCAGCTTTGCTATCCAATGCTTGTTGCTCCCAGTCTGATCCGCTACAAGGGCGCCTACTTGTGAATGAACTGGGTGTTTAGGGGCCTGCCCAAAGGGGGCACTCCTGGAAAGCACCAGGCCTTTGGTCATCACAGGAGCTGTTAGCCAGCTGTCAGAACCACAGATGATTGTGACCGATAGGGGCTGATGTGCAGAATGCCAGAGTTGATTCTCCAGTCTGTCTAGTGTGGATAGATGGTTAGGAGCAGGCTCCAGGGGTCAGTCAACTGAGTTTACGCCCCAACTTCCTGGCCATGTGACTTCAAGCAACTTGTAGCCTCTCTGAAGCTGTATTCTCAACTATAAAGTGGATACGCCCTACTTCATCGATTCTAAGATGCACACATTTCCACCTTGTGACTTCTCTGAAATTGAGATGCGTCTTTCAGTCAGTGGCGTCTCATAGTCGCTGTCAGCCAGCTGGTATTCGTGATGGAGTCGTGGGAAACATTCCGTGGACACCTTCTGCTAAGACCAAGATGGCACCACCTCCTGCATCTTAGATTTGATGAATCGTGGTAAATAATGAGAGGCATGCATGAGCTAATGCTGGGGAGACGCTTGGCACTGTGCTTAGCTCCACAGAAGTGGTCAGCAAGGGCTTCCTTCTCGTGTCCTTAGTAGGGGGTTCAAGATGACCAGGAGGTGCCCCTGAGGAACTTGGAGCCACTCAGGGAAATGAACTGTGTACCCAGGGGAGAACAGGCCAGAATGGTTTGGTGGCGTTTGTAGAATGTCTAGAGCAGAGAAGGTCTGCAGTAGATGTGGTGTCTGAGGTGAATCTCAAAGGATGGGTAGAATTATGAACATGTTAGCAGGGAGAGGGTGGATTCCAGGAGAGGGCAGTGACAAAGGCAAAAGTCCTGGGAGGCCCCACCAGGGCACTGCATGCATGGCTGTGTGCTTGCTGCCTCTCCTGCCTGTGCACAGTCCCTGCTGCTTTGCTTTGTGGGGGTATCTGGGCTTGGGCCTCCTGCCTGTCTAACCCATGGGCAGAGGACCTGGGGTGTGTGAGTTGTCCTGTCCTGGGCAGCAGCTGAGCTGGACAAGGATCTCTTGACTTTTGGGGCTTGAGGGTTTGGGCTCATTTTGCTGGGCCGTGGTGACTGGTGGTGAAACCAGGCTGTGGAGGCAGGCCTGGGGCTCCTGTCAAACTCAGTGAAACTGGAGGCTGATGCCAGTGTTTCCCCAGCTGGCTGCAGTTAGGAACACGTTAATAAGGGCTCTACTTTCAACCAGTCTAGAAATTATCTGGGTGAAATAACAGGTTCAGATAGGCTATATTCATAAAACAGCCTCAGCAGGGTTTAAAAATACCATGAGTTTCTGGGGTAGGTGAGTCAGAGAGCTGCAGTCCTTGGGAGGTGGCCCCGGGAGGATCAGTGGGCATGTCCCACGGGAGATAGGCCTGTGGACTCAGGCTCTGGCTGCACTCAGCAGCCCTGCAGGAAACCAAAGCATGTGAGGTGTGACCACCTGGTGAAGGGTCTCATTCCTGGCGTATGTGTGAACCCTGCAGAGATGCCATATCAGGAGATGGGGTCATGTCCAGTAATTGCCTGGGAAAATGCTTCAGGAATAAACACGCTTAAGATTCTTGGACATTTTGCCAAACTACTCACTGGGCAGTTTTGCCAGCTTACACCCCAGTTCCCACCTCTGCCCACTGAGGCCAGGGCCAGGCCATACAGTCAGTCTGACTTTTGCCAAAGTGAGAGGCAAAACTGATTTCTTGTTCCCACTTGCCTTCGTGTACCTGTGAGCATTTTTTCCATGTGTTATGTCTGTTGACCATTTTGTAGAATGTCTAGTCAAGTCCTTTGTAGTCTCTTGGTGGAGTTTCCAACCTTCTCCTCCCTCCATTTCTGTAATCTATAAGAGCTTTTTATAGACTAAAAATTTAAGCCTTTGTCAAATATTGCAAGTTTTTTTTTTCTCATTTCATTTAATTTATCTTGGGTTTTTTTTTTGGAGTTGGAGTCTCACTGTGTCTCTCAGGCTAGAGTCCAATGGCATGCTTATGGCCACCACAGCCTCTACCTGCTGGGCGCAGGCAATCCTTTCACCTTAGCCTTCCAAATAGCTGGAACTATAGGCACGCACCACTATGCCCAGCTAATTTTTTGATTTATTGTAGAGATAAGGTCTCACTAAGTTTTCCAGGTTGGTCTTAAACCCCTGGGCTCAGGCAGTCCTCTTGCCTCGGCCCCTCAAAGTGCTGTGATTACAGGCTTGAGTTACTATGCCCGGCCTATCTTGATTTTTTTTTAAGTATTTGTAGAAATTTAATAGTTACAACTGTCAGTTTCTTTTTTGCATTTATGCTCAGAAAGCTTCTCCCTACCCTGAGGTTAGATAAGCAGTCATTTGTTCTTTCCTGAGTTATTTTGAGATTTCATTTGTAACATTTTCTTCTGTGATCTGTGTAGCTGGGTTTTGGGGTCTGGCTAGCCCCCGGCCATGCCAGTAACCCAAGGGGTTCAGCCCCACTTGTTGAACAGCTGCTCTCCCTGCCCTGCCCACCCCACTTGCCCGCCCTGGTCTCTCCAGGAATCATGTTCGTGCAGGAGGAAGCCCTGGCCAGCAGCCTCTCGTCCACCGACAGTCTGATTCCCGAGGACCGGCCCCTTGCCCAGGGATGCTCTGATTCCTTGGAGTCCATCCCTGCAGGACAGGTAATGCCTCCTCCTGCTTCTGGGGACCATCACCTGTGAGCAAAATCTTCTGCCTGAGGTTGTCTGTAGTAGAACATGGTCTGGCTGGAGCTGTGGCAGGCGCTTCCAGGGTTTGGTGTGCTGTGCTTTGCCCACATCTCGGACATGTCTCTAGTTGAATCTTCTTGGCAAACCCAGGGGTTGAGGTTTGTGTTCAGCCCCTTCCACCGCCCATCCCCCTTCTCCCCTCCTCCACACACCAGCCCTTCCCTCCCCTACCCTCTCTCCCTGTTGATGGGAACAGGCAGTTCTCTCACTGGGCCCTGGGGGCTGGTGGAGGACACATGACCCTTGAGCAGACTCCTCTGGGGAAGGCAGTTTAAAAGGTCCTTGTGCAGGGGCTTGTTGGGTTCTGAGCCCATTAGGAAGAGTTTCTTCTCTGCTTTCCAGCATCCCTGGGGCCATTTGGCCCCTTTTCACATGCCACTGTATAGTCTGGGACACAGTGTGACTCCAGACCCTCTTCTGTGGCTGCTGCTGAGGGTTCTGGAGTCCTTTCCTGTGTCCTGAGGAGAGAAGAGGAAAGCAAGAGTTGCCCCTTGCTGTGTGCCCAGGGAGTGTGCTTGGTTCCTGGGCCTCCCTCCTGCTCCATCTCCGCAGTAGCACAGGGTTATGGCCTTGTGACACTGGGACAGTTTGCAGAGTCCTCATCTATCTCCAGCACTCCCCCATCACCTTCCCCAGGGTCACACAGCAAGAGGTTCCCAAGCACTAGCTCTTCCCACTGCACAGAGACCACCGGGGTGCCTTGCCGGGGCTGCGCTGCCTCTGCTCATTGTGTCTGCTGCCGTTAGAATCGAAACACATTGGTAGACTGCCCATCGGGACTCTTGGGTGGCACAAGGATTCCTCAGATGCCAGATCCCTGGAGAGAAGTGAGAGGCTCTGGCCCGGGGTTGGGAGGATGGGCTAAGATCAGACAGGTAGATATCACAGCCCTGCTGTGCACTGGCGGGACAGCTAGGTGAGTCTCTGCTTTTCTGGGTCCTAGAGCGCAGACTCCCCCAGAGTAGGATGTGGGGATGATGAGAGCCCACCTTGGGGTGGTGAGGGTGGGCAGGGTGCCCAATGCAGAGTCTGGCACCTACTAAGTGCCGGGACTGGCTACAGATGGAGGCTGACTGCATTTCCTTCTCCATCAGGCAGCTTCTGATGATTTGAGGGACGTGCCAGGAGCTGTTGGTGGTGCAAGGTAAGGAAGAGATTGGGAAGACAACTGGGCCGGGCCCACAACCCTCTGCACACACTCCACTGTGGGCTAGTGGTGATCAGTCAGATATTGTTAATAATCTGTTCTCAGAAGTCCTACAGAACTTCTCCTCCTTGGCTGGGCATGGTGGCTTATGCCTGTAATCCCAGCACCTTGGGAGGCCGAGTCAAGAGGATTGCTTGAGCCCAGGTATTCGAGACCAGTCTAGGCAACATAGCGAGACCTCATCTCTATAAACAAAAAAATAAAGAGAACTTTTCCTCCTTTAAATAAACACAAATGAGATGGGCTCTCTAGTCTGTTTCCAAATTCTAATCTAAACTTCATCTGGCACATGTTAGCCTACACTAGGGGTTGGCTGATCGAGGCCTGTTTGTATGGTCTATCTTGTACAACCTGGGAGCTACAAATGACAGCTACATTCCTAAGCGCTATTTAAAAAGAAGCGCAAATTCTGCAGTACTTACTCTCTGACCATTTACAGAAGAAGTTAACCAACTCATTCTACATGCAGGAGCTCTACTGGCCACGGGGAGCTGGAATTTAAATGTCAGAGTCCTAAGGGTTGCCCCAGCCCACTTCCCTGCCCCTGGAGGCCACTAGGTGTCCTAAAGGGAGCCATTATTGACAAGAGGATTCCAACTTGGAGTACACATTTTCTCCAGGCCTCATGGCAGCATCTGAATAAAAACTCTATAGAGGTGCTTCTGTTATGAGAACTAGTGTGGTCTGGGTCCAGCTGCGTGGGTCACCTAAGGTCCCAGCCCCTGAAATCATGGACTCTAACCAAACTGGTGGCCCAGCTTTCCAGTGGTCAGCACCTTGACTCCCACCAGGGCCTTCATCCTAGGAGCTGGCTTGGCTATGTAGGCTTGGGAGGCCAATAGGTTGGTTTCTTGGGGCCAGAGGGCAGCAGCAGATTCCAAGTGTGGGGGGCAGGGCTGACCCATCCAGCATGTCACTGACCTGGCCTTTCCCCTCACAGCCCAGAGCACGCAGAGCCAGAGGTCCAAGTGGTACCTGGGTCTGGCCAGATCATCTTCCTGCCCTTTACCTGCATTGGCTACACGGCCACCAACCAGGACTTCATCCAGCGCCTAAGCACACTGATCCGACAGGCCATCGAGCGGCAGCTGCCCGCCTGGATCGAGGCCGCCAACCAGCGGGAGGAGGGCCAGGGTGAGGAGGAGGACGATGAGGAGGAGGACATTGCTGAGAACCGCTACTTTGAAATGGGGCCCCCAGACGTGGAGGAAGAGGAGGAAGGAGGCCGGAGGGAGGAAGAGGAGGAGGAGGAAGAGGAGGATGAGGCTGAGGAGGAGCGCCTGGCTCTGGAGTGGGCCCTGGGCGCAGACGAGGACTTCCTGCTGGAGCACATCCGCATCCTCAAGGTGCTGTGGTGCTTCCTGATCCACGTACAGGGCAGCATCCGCCAGTTTGCCGCCTGCCTCGTGCTCACTGACTTCGGCATTGCCGTCTTCGAGATCCCACATCAAGAGTCTCGGGGCAGCAGCCAGCACATCCTCTCGTCCCTACGCTTTGTCTTTTGCTTCCCACATGGTGACCTCACCGAGTTTGGTTTCCTTATGCCTGAGCTGTGTCTGGTGCTCAAGGTGCGGCACAGCGAGAATACGCTCTTCATCATCTCGGATGCTGCCAACCTGCACGAGTTCCATGCAGACTTGCGTTCATGCTTCGCCCCACAGCACATGGCCATGCTGTGCAGCCCCATCCTCTACGGCAGCCACACCAGCCTGCAGGAGTTCCTGCGCCAGCTACTCACCTTCTACAAGGTGGCCGGTGGCTGCCAGGAGCGCAGTCAGGGCTGCTTCCCCGTCTACCTGGTCTATAGTGACAAGCGCATGGTGCAGACGGCTGCTGGGGACTACTCGGGCAACATCGAGTGGGCCAGCTGCACACTCTGCTCAGCTGTGCGGCGCTCCTGCTGCGCGCCCTCTGAGGCTGTCAAGTCCGCCGCCATTCCCTACTGGTTGCTGCTCACACCCCAACACCTCAATGTCATCAAGGCCGACTTCAATCCCATGCCCAACCGTGGCACTCACAACTGTCGCAACCGTAACAGTTTTAAGCTCAGCCGCGTGCCGCTGTCCACTGTGCTGCTGGACCCCACACGCAGCTGCACCCAGCCACGGGGAGCCTTCGCTGATGGCCACGTGCTTGAGCTGCTCGTGGGCTACCGCTTTGTCACTGCCATCTTTGTGTTGCCCCACGAGAAGTTCCACTTCCTGCGCATCTACAACCAGCTGCGGGCCTCGCTGCAGGACCTGAAGACCGTGGTCATAGCCAAGACTCCTGCAACTGGGGCCAGCCCCCAGGGCCCCCTTTTGGATGACCAGCCTGCCGAAGGTGGGGCCAGGTGAGATCGAGTGCAGCTCTCAGCCTGGAGGCAGGGGCTGGCAGGTGCATGATCTCTGAGCATCTGCAGCTGATGTGTGGGCTGGGTCACTCCTCTTCACCTCATGCCCACCCTCAGCATAGCCACCTTGGGCTTGGCTCCAGGCTTATCTCCCAGTGCTGCAGAAGAGGCCCAGGAGAGCTGTCCTCTCACAAAAGCAGTTGACCCAGGCTTCTGCCACCTGTGCAAGGCAGTCCATAGGGGGGTGCCCTCTACCTTCCCTGCCAAGCAGGAGAGCCACAGGCTTCAGCACACTGAGGCCAGGAGAGCTATCGCTCTGGCTCTAACTGTTCTGATTACTGGCCTCAAGCATAGCCTCTGGGCACCATTCCCCCAGGGTCCTAGTCCCATGGCTGGCTCTGTGGGCTGGGGACTACTTCAGGCCTCACCATCTCCAAGACCCACTTCCCAAGCTTACCCTGCTGGTGAACCACAAATCCTTTCTCAGGAAGCCTGTGTTGCATGTAACTGGGAGTCCCTCCCAAAGGAACTTTGTGGGCTAAAATTGGAAAGATCTCAGTGTCTGAGCTGGGTGGGTCATCTGTCCAGAGAAGGAAGGAGCTGGCAGCCCTGTCCTCCTGTTCTTCCTCACTCTCCTCTCCCTCCCCCGCACCCCTCCTGACTGGGCCTGGCTTCCCTCCTGAGATTTCCTCAAGGCTGCCTGGGGATAGGAGTAGAGGGGGGTCTCTGGGGTCCCCCCACAGCTCACCCCCTACCTGAGACTTAATGGGGTGAGCCCTTGTGAGCTCTTTCCCTCTGCTATGTTGTCTTCCGGAGAGCCCAATGAGGAGATCCTCAAGTTACCCATAGGTGGTGGGTACACACTCTTCTCCCCACTGGAGGTTGTACATGTGTGAATCTTCATTTGGGTCCACTTGTTAATATGGTGTTTCTTGGGGGGGTGCAGCAATGACCAGCATCCCCAGGAGCCTCCTGCAGAGGCTCCAGCCCTAGCAGCAGCCTCAGCCCCAGGCCCAGCAAAGACTCCAGCACCCACAGAGGCCTCAGCTCCAGCTTTGGTCCCAGAGGAGGCCCCAGTGGAGGCCCCAGCTCCGGCTCCAGTCCCAGCAGAGGCTCTGGCTCAAGCTGAGGCCCCAGCACAGTACCCAAGTGAGCACCTGATCCAGTCCACCTCGGAGGAGAATCAGATTCCCTCACATTTGCCTGCCTGCCCGTCGCTCCGGCACATTGCCACCCTGCGGGGGAGTGCCATCATCGAGCTCTTCCACAGCAGCATTGCTGAGGTAGGGCCTGGGTGTGGTCTTGCTGGGTGGCACGTGTGGGTGCCAGCTGTAGCACCAGTCCTGAGGGTGAGGCCTGCCTTGCCCTTGTGTCAACCTCAGGTCCCGGGACTTCTCTGATGTCACTAGCCCTAGCTTAGCTGCTCACAGCTTCAAGGACCTATGTAGTGAGGTCCTGAGTTGCCCTCCCCTGGCCAGTTGTCCTCTGTCACCACCTCCCCCTGTGCAACCTCCAGCTGCAGCCAGACCCCACCCCACACCCACCTCCCACCCCTCACATCCTCTGCTTCTGAGTTTATAGCTACACTGATGAGATGAGATTCCCACATCTTCCTGTCCAAGGACATGGGTGTGTCCCTGAGACCTGCAGGCCAACCAAGATGGTGGGACTGACAGGTGGTTTGGGGGAGGAGCTGCCCAGGCCTGGTCTAGGAAAAAAGGTATGTGCCCTGCCTCATCCTGCTCTCCTGCAGGATCAAACCCAGCCCCTGTATCTCCAGGTTGAAAACGAGGAGCTGCGGCACCTCATGTGGTCCTCAGTGGTATTCTACCAGACCCCTGGGCTGGAGGTGACTGCCTGTGTGCTGCTCTCCACCAAGGCTGTGTACTTTGTGCTGCATGACGGCCTTCGCCGCTACTTCTCGGAGCCGCTGCAGGGTAAGCACAGGCCTGCTGGTGCTCGGGAGCTTGGAGCTGGAGCATGTCTTCAGGGCAGGCTGAGGACCATCTCTGGAGCCAGCTGTGTGCCCTCAGGCAGCAGTGACTCAGCCATAGTGGGCTGACAGTCGCTCGGCTAAGAGAGGGGTAGTAGCAGCGCCTCTCTCCTGGAGTCATCAGGAGGGACCTAAGGCTGGATGTGAATGCCATGGTGGGGCCCAGCAAATGCTTGGGAATTGCCCGTGACTGGGAGGAATTGGGCAGCCTCTGCCTCTTGGGGCCTTAGTGGGAGCCTCAGCCAATGGCCTGGTAACTCCGCTGAGCTGGGCGAGGCTCAGAACCCAGACTGCATGAGGCATTGTGTGGGTGGAGGCAGTAGTGGCTCCTCACCAGACTCAGCCAGCCAAAGGACCCATTCCTGCCGGGCATGCTACACACCTAGGAATCTTGTGCTTATCTGTCACAGCCGCAACCACACACTCAGTCCCTTTCTCTCTACCATAGATTTCTGGCATCAGAAAAATGCCGACTACAATAACAGTCCCTTCCACATCTCCCAGTGCTTTGTTCTAAAACTCAGCGACCTGCAGTCAGTCAACGTTGGGCTTTTTGACCAGTATTTCCGGCTGACGGGTGAGTGACCTGCTGTGCTTTGTCCTATTTCGGGTGAAGGCCGTTGTTACCAGTGGGCTTCCACCTTCCGTGTGTGGGTGCGTTATCATGGGCAGAATTATCTCTGCTCAAGAGCCAGTCACCCGGGCGGGAGGAAGCAGCCTCAGGAACTGCTGAGGGTGCAGAATTCACACTCCGGGGCCCAGGCGGGAGGCAGGGTGTGCGGCAAGCGCCAGCCCGGACAGTGGCGGAGTAGGCCCTGGGCTCAGGGGCAGGATGTTTCTGACTCACACTTCCTGAAGAGAGAAAGCTAAGCTCTTTCCCTAATAACTCTGGATCCCCTTCCAGAAAAATGTCTCAGCCCTTCTGGCCTGAGAAATGGCTGCCTCCCAGGCCCCATGATGCTTTCCCTCATGGGCCCTCCTGGCCCCAGCTCTCTGGGCTGAGACTTGCTAGGGACAAGCAATGGCTCCCAGGGGCAAGGACAGGGCTGGGGTAGAGGGCGGCCTGTGGCCCTGACCAGCCCTTCTTGTGCAGGCTCCTCCCCGGTGCAGGTGGTCACATGCTTGACACGGGACAGCTACCTGACGCACTGCTTCCTCCAGCACCTCATGGTTGTGCTGTCCTCGCTGGAACGCACACCCTCACCTGAGCCTGTTGACAAGGACTTCTACTCTGAGTTTGGGAACAAGACCACAGGTACCCCCGTCCAGCTCAGGCTACAGACAGGCAGCCTGGGCAGACGTTGTGGGC